TATATATATATATATATATATATATATACTAGTTGTGTACCCGCGCAATGCGGCGGAAGCCGTGAATTTTAACGATTTTGAAGTTTTATAGATTGCTTTACAGGACTCAAATTTATATCAAACAATTATGTGTCATATGTAAATGTGTTACAATAAATTGACATAACATTTTTAACAACTTTTAGCAGGGACAGACCTATGAAAATTCAAAGGCAACACAGCCCCGTGCACCCACTCAACCGATTATCCTAAGTAGTATTTTTGGTATGAAAGGTGCAAACGCTAAACTTTGAGGAGTACTTTGTGATATTATAAAATAAAAAGAATATCAACCAAAAAACCTGAAAAGTCACTTGAGATCAACCAAAAAACTTAAAAAATCCCTAGAAAGGTGGCATTCGGTTAAAAGGATATCAGGCAACTTTGCGGGGCTTTGATCCACCTTTAAGGTGCACTCGGTTGGCAAAAATGTCGGTCCGTTGCTGACTTTTAGTGCATGCAATTTTAAAATAAAGTGTYCTATTAGTCTTTTTATGTGATATTATTTGAAACAAAAGTATGTGTTCATAACACGCTTGTCAAAGTGTTCTATAAAAAACTAAAAGAGCCTGAAAAAACTTGTTAGTATGCCCAAATAGGCATGGCAACGGGGCGGGGATGGGGCGGGTTTTGTAATCCTCGGCCCCGCCCCAGTCTCCGGCGGGTACGGGGATTATTATCTCATCCCCGGTCAAATTCTAGCAATCCCCGGTCAAAACCAGGTAAACCCCGGTAAAAAGTATGCTTTAGTTTGATTATACCGGGGATCCCCGGCCCCGTTTTGAGTAACATTCCCCGTCCCCAGCCCCGTCCCCAGTTTGAGTCTACCGGGGATCCCCGGCCCTGGCCCCGGGACCCGTTTTAGCGGGGAATCCCCGTCCCCATTCGGGTCGGGTGAACCGGGTTCCCCACCGGGTCGGGGCAAATCACCATCCCTATGCCCAAATATGTCCTAACGTCCAATTATAACACCTTTTTACATAGGACGCATAATTGTTTGATGGTGAAAGCATTAGAACATCTCGAGTACTTTTTTGGCATCCTATAAACGTGTTCCCATAAAGATGGTAGCTCTTACCGAATAAGCAAAATAGGAATCTTGAGAAGACCACTTGAGAACCTTTGAATCATACAAGAAGCTTAATTGGCGAGCCTGTCTTTTTAGTTATTATAAAGAAGGAAACAGATTTACACAAGAATAATGTAAATGATCATCATCTGGTATAAAAGATGAAGATATGCATGCCTTGCCTTTAAAGGATGGCTACAAGTGTTGCATGTAATCTGAGTGCAGGTGCCAGAATTCATATATAGCAGTATTTTTTCTCTACAAGAAACTTTCTTGAAAACTGGAAATACATGAGTAGGGTAAGCAAAAGGCAGGTTGAGACATAAATCATGGCCTTAATACAACATTTTCTGAGACCATCTAACTTTAACTTGGAAAATGGATCTTCCTTCAACCTTAGGAAAGTGAAGTAACATATATGGTTATAAAAAATCAACAAAATCAAACATAAATCAACCAACAATAAGCAGAACCATAAGCAGAAGCAGTAGCAGTTTTCATAAACAGAACCATAAACAATAGATGGAAGATGAAAGTGTTCGATTGAGTAGGGTTGAAGATGAAAGCAATACCTGTTCGAAGATGAAAGCAGCTTTCGATCGAAGAAGAAATCGTCCGATTATATATGGAAGCGTCCGATTGAAGATGAAAGCAGCTTTCGATCGAAGATAAAAGTATGCCTGAGAACATAAAAAATAAACTTCTCCATCCCATGAAAACATCGACTCCACACAAATTTTCAAACTACCACGGTTGTAGAGGTGGAAATTTCCATGGGACATCTAAAAAGAGAAGGGGGCAAAAGGAATAGAATGTGGTAAATGGTCAAGAAGTAGATACAAAAGAGAAGGTGCATACCAAAGAAGAATTACCCCCAACAGCACGACAAATGGAACAAGCTAGCAAGAAAAGATAACAAGACAACAAATAAGCCTCTTAAGGATCAACAAAACAGTACAGTTCACAAGAAAATATAGCTACCATAGCCAAGGCGTTTAGCATGCTTCCTTTTCTCGATTGTACAACCTCATAAACATTTTGTACACTGTGAGCAAGGAAGATACAGAGCAAGTCAAATGAAGGTGATATAGCAACTTACAACTGCAATATTTGAATGGATAAACATGCAGATTTAAATGAAGCTAGAGTATATGACAAGTTAAAAAAAATACCATCACAATTTGTATAAGATTTCATAAAGGAGTAGGATGAACTCACATAGCAGGATCTAAGGAAAATCCCAAATCTTTGGACAAAAGGACAGCACACGAAGTAAACAACTACCAGCTACCAGGCAGCCTCGTCTCTGACAGCTAACAGCTACCGGGCAGCCTCGTTTCCGACAGAAGTGCGACCAAACAGCCGTCGCCTCGCCTTCTTTCCCTCACGCTGTTCGGTCAGACAGCGGCCTGCTGCCCCTTCCTAAACTTCGCTTGCTGCTCGAATACACAGCAGCTGGTTGCTGCTTCAACTCCGTCGGCTAACGAACAAACGACAGCTGTTGTTCATTTCCCCAAACCAGGCAGCTTTGGCTGCCGAATGTCTACAAAACAGCCGCTGTTTTTGCCCTCCGACAGCAGCTATATCCTGCCCAAACAGCAGTTAAGTTCTTCTCCAGACCAGGTAGTGTTCGGTTGCTATATGCTCTCCAAACAGCCGCTGTTTTGTTCCCCAAACAACCACTGTTTTGCTTCCCAAACCGCAACTGCTGCTGCTGTTTCTTCCTTCCACTCAGACGCCGTCGAGGCTACGGTTCCCTCCTCACACCGGGCCTGCTTTGGCTGATCTCTCCTTCCCCTTTTCTTCTTTCACTTGCAGAAATCACCCAACATAACCTAACTCTCTTAACCTTTCTTCTTGTTTTCCCCTCGGTGTTACATAAATACACCTACAAATCAAAATGAAGTCACAATTACAATAAAGTTGTTGATGAAGATTAAATTATTTAATCAACAAGCAAGATGACAACAAGCTCAAGTGTTATGGATGTTTTTAGTTCATTCTATCCATCAAAACAACTTTTATAAATTGATAGATCCGAAATATAGATTATACATCTTTAGAAAGTAAGCCTGCAAACCAAATGAGTCCTTTGAGAATTTTAAAGAAGCAAAAGAGCTATTATCACCAAAATACCAGATACCTCAAAAGCTGAAAAGGGTATTACTAAACCATCATCTTTTGTTCAAAGTCACATAGATCAAGAGGAACTATCACCGAAAAACATAAAAGAAACCATATGGGTTTGAGAAAGATTGTTTATTCAACCATTCATCTAACTTAAAGAAATTAACAATAATAGTTCAAGAAACCACATGGGTATGAGAAATATTGCAAGAAATTAAAGATAATAGTTCAAGAAATACCTGAGATACCAGCAGTGCAGTAGACAAGGGCAAAGATCATACCCCTAAAAGCCYAAGCAATCCCTTGAATACCAACARTACCACACTTTGTGGGARATTTAACAACACCCAAAAAGAAGAGAAAGTAATTAAAAATCTCATCAACAAAATTGAAATAGAAATCAATATCGCATACCTCCAAATTAAAATTGAAATGAAAATTCTAGGGTTTTAAAGAAATGTGAGATTAAAACAACAGGGAAGAGGGATACATGAAATCGGACATCTAATCGAGGTGATACATCAAAACCACCATTGTTGTGTCAAACGATGTCTGTGAAGAAAAAAGGTATCTGCTATCTAACACCAAATGTTTTGGTCGCATCTGAGAAAAATCACAGCAGAAGAAGAAGGAAGAAAGATTTTGGTTTTGGTGTTTTGGTCTCAGTCGCATGCATAGATCAAAAGAGAAGAAACCGGCCCAAATGGGTAATTTTATGTCTGATAAGAAAAAGGTAAGTTTGACCCAATTAAAATTTGATGTTGTGGAAACACTTTCATAAAAAGCTTGTACATTATGTATAAGAATTTGTAATTAAGAGATTTTTGAAATTGTTGTATAAAATGGTAGTACTTTAGGCTTCAAGAGTTGTAATTAAGACTTTRTCTTAAATGCTTATATATGTAGTATAGATAATTTAAAATAATAACATATAAATTACAAATATATATAGGATGTGTATAATAATAATAATAATATATTATATTATTTGATTGATTATGATTTTTTATGTGTTTTAGTATGATTCAAATTCCAAGACATTCAACACCTCCTATTAGGAGGGCCATTAGCACTCCCCTATTGGACAATTGCAAACTTTATGATTTTCTTTTTCCAATAATACACTTGTTCATGTATGTTCATCGTAGATGATAATGTATTATATTATTAGTTATTACAAAATTGTCATCATAATTGTTATCCATTGATTCACAAGATAATGGTTGTGATGGATTTACAAAATTAATACCATAAATTAGGTTAACAAAATTAGTTACCCCTATAGAGGAGATGATGGGAGGTTATGGAAGCTTTCAAGTTTGTACATATACTTCTTAAAAATTTCACAATATAACTGTCCTTTACAGATGAAAAGGGGCTGACAAATTCCTGGTGATTTCCATTACCATTTCATAGAAAACTAGTAGTTGCTTCCTGCACATATCTGATACTTCATTCATGGATAAACCAACAGAGACAAACAGAAACGAAAAAGGAAACTGAATCCAACTACTGTCCCAAGTTACAAAGGAAACCTCAGATCTTTGCAAGTACTTGAGCAATAGATGTTGCCGAACAACAAAATGGTCAGAGAATAGAGCTAGCAGATGTTGCCGAACAACAAAATGGTCAGAGAATAGAGCTAGTAAGGCACAATCGTGCGTACTGTTGACGGCCCACTTTTCATGTCCTCCAAAATAAGTTTTCGAAGAGACTCTGTCACCACACCTTCTTTGCCTGCAAAACGATTGAAATGTAGACAATTATATGATAACCAAGTTCCAGTTCACATCCTTTTTCAAAAAAGAATCCTTTATGCTTCTACCTCGAAACCATTTGGTTATTAGAGCCACTCCTAGATTATATGTGTAGATGAATTTCGGTAATTCAACTGATGAGCTTCTTCTGGTCGTCTCGTGTCTCACACAGCTTTTGAGCCATCAAGACTTAACCTCCAACTATATGTTTATCAACTTTTTAAATATAACCAATGTGATATTCAGCATAATACACACCCATTGTGTCACCTGGCTTTCAAGCCATTGAAAGTACACATGCACAAGTAGCTCAGATTGGAGCCATTAAGACATATAAACAAGCAAGGGTGTGTGTGCATGTAAAGGATGATCATTCGGATTTGTATCTTCAAAATCAATTGACCACGAGGAATCTCTCTTGGATTCACTGACTAAACCGAGTTTTACCTTTACCCCGAGTGGAACTAGCACTTCTGTCACCAAGTAATAGTACCTACAGGCCTTAAAAGTTGCATACTTTCATCTTCTGCTTCTAACCAGAAAAGGGATTTGACAAAATGTAAACACAAAAAGCTTCTATGTGGAAACAATATATTAACTTAATCAATACCAATAACGCTGACGTATTCAACAAAACAACCAAACAGTTTTGCCTTGATCTAAACACATTATCATCTGACCTTGAACACTAGATAATAGAGCGTATACGAAGATCTTGAAAGAAATAACACTTTTCCATGCAAAATCCAGCTTTATAAGAGTAAATGCTTAGGGTTGCTTAAGTGGCCGTCTAGGCGATAAGCATCCTTCATTATGAGTTATTGTTCCACCTCTTTGATTGGCAACTAATTTTCGAACCAAGCATTTCAAAAATTAGATAGGGATTAACAGGATTTCCTGAACTTGTATTTAATAGACCTTTCTCAACTTGGAAGGAACAGTCCAACCTTTTCCAAGTAATTGAATTAATGGAACAATAAAACTAATCACTAGCACAATAATTGGATCAAAACAATATTAGGACTAAAAATTTAGTTTTTATCAAAAGATAATCGTGTTGTATATATTTAACTGAACCGCTTAATCCCGGCTTAGAGATTAAGAGCTAGAAGGTCAGGTTCCAAACACTTGCCTAAATGCAAAGCGGAACACTAAGAAAGGACGAACCTTGGTGCACCAAGGATGAATGTGTAGAGTATGTGCATCCTCCATAAGCGATATTTTCCACACATATTGTTACCTATTATGATGTTTGAGCTTCAATGAGAAAACATAAATGGATTGAAAGAGTAAAACAATGCTCGTCAGTAAATTGCATAAAGGGATTGTAAAAATTTCTTACCATTACCTATGACCTGATCATCCCATTGCAAAACTGGTCGAACAAGAACTCCACTACCAATTAGCATCATTTCTTCTGCTTGTTTACCTTCCTCCAGCGTCACCTCTCTCACTTTTACCCCTCTAAGTTTACCTTCTGTTACTAAATTGCTCACAAGTTCCAAAACTCTCTTTGCGGTACACCCGCTAAGTATTTTGTCAAAACGAGGCATCAAAAGTTCATTCTCTTGTGTAACAAAAGCCACATTCATGTTCGGTCCTTCTGCAACAAACCCTTCTTCATCCAACCAAATGGCAGCATAAGCACCATTTTCTTCCGCTTCCATTTTGGAAAGAACATTTGGAAGATAGTTTACACTCTTCATGATGGCAAATTGTGGTGGTTTTATCGGAATAGATGATGTAGTAACTTTGATGCCCTTGTAATTAGGAGGTGACTGATCTTGGATAACAATAGCATAGAGAGCTGAATGATAGCAGCCTGAGGGAGAGAGTTGGAAATCCCCTGGACCTGAGGAAAGCCAGTATCTCAATGATCCATTTTTGCAGGTTGAAGCACTCACAGTTTGTACAAGTGTTCTTTTTGTGGTTTCTTTATCAAAAGGAGGGTTTATTTTCGCCATCTTTGCTGAACCCAGGAAACGATCTAGGTGTTGCTCCAACTCATATATGCATCTGGAGTATCACATAAAAAAATAATGCAAATGTTCATTTCTGCTTTAGTTGAGTTTATCGGGCAGTTATTTCGCATTGGATAGGAAATTGTATCAAACCACAATAACAAGACAGAAACCCCAATTTCATTTTTTGATCTTAGAAGCAAAACAATGGCAGTTGGTACATTCAGAAGTCGGTTTATACCACTAATAGTTCCCCCTCCATCCCATGACAGTAGCAACAATTATCATTCTATGATGTACCATGCTAATTGCAACATTTCTTTTATTGGAGAACTTTTAAAGCTAAAATCACCTAAATTGCCCAGAATCATCATCACAAAAAAAATTCTTTGAAGGGTGTCCCAGGCTATGCCTGAACTAATCCCGGCAAATAGTGACTGCAAGAAATCAGCTCTGCAGTGGCCACAATTGTTGTGTACATGTGGAATCGAACCCTGGGTAGATGGGATATTCCACCACATCCCCAAAGACCTTAACCACTACGCCACAACCCTTTACGGTATCAATTTTAGTCCACAAGAATCAAGTCAACTAGAAGGGTAAAAGATAAAAACACTTTGGTCATGATGGAGCACTTCTAATAATATGCATGTGGAGCCAACTATTGCAATTCCAATAGGACTGCTAGGGAGATGGGGAAGAGAAGGCTGTCGGTGGAAGAAAAGAAGTTGCAATTGCCATTTAAATGCAAGAAAAAACTAATGCAAGTCTAACAATGAACAATGCTCAAGGAAAATAGCTCCCCACTTGCAAGACACATGTAGGTCAACCAACTCAGCCACAGGTGATATGTGTATAGAATCCTCTTCCATAAGAACCATTCATTATCCCTCGTATATATATACTACTGCCTATACAAAATATGCACACATATTGCATGCACGCATATATCCTCTCAGTATCCCAACTTTGAACACTTTTCAATTGAAACAGTAACGTGAGACACATGTCAGTGTTTTTGCCTTGCAAGATATTTGTATAGCATTTCCTTTAAGATATGAAAAGTTACACTTAATATAAGTTAATTAATGCCGTAAGCAAAGTTGACAAATTGTAGAGGCTACACTACGTTGTTATAACCGGGTTTTTCTACAAATCTGGGTTAAGGTAATTTTATGTGTTAATATGTGAATTATGTGGCAAGCATGCATAATAACGCTAATATTTGCATGAATTATGTGTATATGGGAAGAATCCAATAATATGCATATAGGATTTGTATATATACCYAAATGGATATGAATCACACATRGGAAGTCAAATATTTTAATATATGAAGATGAGGTATCTTCATTGTTAAGAAAAAGGTTTTAAAATGATATCTTCACCGCCTAAGGATTTTTATATTAATTAAAKTACCATCACCGCCTCACTTAGATTATAAAAGCAAGAAGATAAGGTAAAATCTTATCTATTCTCCTGTTTTTACAAAAAGTGAGTTTTAGAAAGGAAGAAAAGTTTACAAGACGGTGAAAGTGTTCTTAGAAAGTATTATTGAAGAATATAACGGATTAAAGATTCTGATTACTTGCTGTGTGATAACCTGCAGAATTTGTGTTATCAAGGTGAGTTTTATTAACCTTTTTATTATAACCGTAAGTTTATAAGTTGTTGTTCAATCTTGTAATCTAGTAATTACAGATGATTGAGATTTGGAAAGAATCTGGTGAAAATTGCTTTTAAACAGTCTTGAAAGAAATGTTTTATGGTTCAAAGATTAGAACCTGTTTTGGAAGGATTGAACAGAAACTGTTCTTTAGAATTAGTTTTAAAACAATACCCTGTTTGGGAAGAACTAGATGAGTTGAGCAATCATTTATAGAACAGGGTGTTCTTATGATTTGGAAGGTTTGAATATAAACCTTTTTTGAGATTATGATTGATTTAAAACTATGAACGAGGTTCACTCTGACAGAAAGGTTTGCAGCCTGTCATTGGATGAAATAGTTCATATGAATTTCAAGGGAAATAAGGATGGTCGTTGTATGTGATGGATAGCTATTGCTATAAACAGGGGATTGATGGATGTAATAAGTATGGTCGTTGTGTGTGTGCATGGTATAACTATTGCTATTATATCTTCTAAGATTACAACAGATTGAAGTTCTCACTTCTTTGTGGTTTGAGGATTCAGAGATGTTCTTTTTAGAAATAATAGTATTGATGTTATGGTTACGGGAAAATATGATCTATGGTCATTAATTTTGGATAAAAAGTATTTCGGAACAGAATGTTCATTTTTATGAGGAACCAGAGGAGCTCTGGTTGGTCCTCATCATTGGACCAAAAGATTCTGGTTATGTAATTTAAGAAGTATGCTTGTTCTTAATAAATTAATTGGACCAGAGGCTCCGTATCTATTGATATGAGCTTCTGTGTCAAAGTTTGTATTTTAAGAAGTTTTAAGAGAAAGGGGTTTATACTTAGTATTTTTCAACTAAAAATAGACCAGAGAGGACACGTTGAACCAGAGAGGCTCTGGCTGATCCTAAACGTTAGTGCAACCAGAGGCTTGGTCGGATAAGAGCTCTGTATAAGCATCCTTTTATGAAAAAGACTATCTTTTTGGATTGGAAGCCTAACTTGAGAATATTACAAGAAATTATATGAGCCAGAGGCTCTGGTTAGTACAACCAGAGGCTCTGGACGAGGAAATAAAAGCTCTGGTAGAAGGACCAGAGGGCTCTGGTTCTGTGTATTTAGATATATTCCAAGTATGGTTTAGAACCAAAGGCCCGATGAACCAAAAAAAATATGATTTTTAGTCTTCATAAGATGGATTATTTGAAATAAATGTTTTGGTGAATTTCACCCTGCATTACATAAAAAGTGAACCTCACTAGACATTCATGTCTAACCCTCATTTTGTGTTTTCAAAAATATGTGTGCAGGTAATGAGAATAAGGGAAAAAGCATTATGTGAATTACTTCCCTATGTGTTTTGCAATATGAAGATCTTGATTAGCCATGTTTGGAAGACTAGATGTCAAGATACAAGAACATGTACTTTTGAGATTTTTGATCTATGTATTGTACATTATAGACTCTTCTATTATGGACCTATGTCGGAAAACATGTATTCCATATATGAAATATGTGTTATATGCAATGTATGGTTTGGGGGCATTACAGAGATGGTATCAGAGCCTGAGTTTAAGGGATTTAGGTATTCACATGCATGATGCCTAGACTTAAACTGTTTCATTGCATATTAGGGTCCCAAACATAGTTAGCACCTTTAGAATAAATATGATAAGTTAAGAGATCAGTGTGTAAGGTATTTTCGGATTACATCKGGCCAATGTAATTTTGAATTTACAGGTACATAACTGAACTTGGAAACTTTATTATATTTGGGAATGTGAAAATATGTTTATGAATTTTGAAATCTACAGATGGCAAGCAGATCTAGAAGGTCAGAAAGGATCACCCGCCCCAACCCCACTAATGAAGAAGATTCTCCTATTATAGCTCCTATTGATACCTCTGAGGGCAGAGGCAGAAGCAGAGGAAGGGGCAGAGGCAGAGGTCAAGGCAGAGGGCAAACCAGAGGCAGAGCTAGTCAACCAGAAAACAATATAGATCAAGCAGAATCCAATTCTGAAAATATGAATCAAGAACAGATACCACAACCAGAATACGTGACCAGAGATATGCTTGCTGAAGAAATGGGAAAGCAAAGGGAAACCTTAACTTCCATTTGAAAGTTTGCAAAACTCGATACCTTCATCATTAACAGAAAATCCCTATATATAGGGTATGTACAAAGAAACCCTATCGGCTATAATTAATGATAAATATAAATCAAATCCGTAATTATCTCTAACTAATATAATCGTAATTATCTCTAACTAATATAATCGTAATTATCTCTAACTAATATAATCAACCGGCTAAGATTCCCCCGCAGTTTGAGCGGGAGTAGAGCAAACGCTCAAGCTGGATCGGAATGACTCGAACAACTGTCGTGGGAGGCCCTTGGTAAAAATGTCAGCGTACTGTAGAGAGGAAGGCACGTGAAGAACGCGAATGTGGCCAACTCGAACTTTGTCCCGAACAAAATGAATGTCAATCTCGATGTGCTTGGTTCGCTGATGTTGAACTGGATTATCAGATAAGTAAACGGCAGACACGTTGTCACAATAAACCACGGAAGCTTGCCGAAGAGGAAGCTGTAATTCGAGGAGTAAATTGCGAACCCAAGTGGCTTCTGCGACA